ATATTCTTGGGTGCGTTAATAGTCTAAAACTTGGTCAATTATCTGCTTTACAGAACAGTCTAAAGACTCGAAACCCATCTAGTGTCACAGTTTGCATTAAATTTCATGTCTAGAGTCACAGTTTGCCTTAAATTCCTTGTTATAAACACTTGATGACCCATCTAGAGTATCTCCGAAACTATTCGAGTCCGACCTTTATATATATATATGAAATGACTCGGGAAGACATCCCCAACAACATATTTAAAAATGAAGCAAATCGGAGAGGAGGCCCCTTTTATGCATAATTACCAAGTTTTTTTTTACAAATGTACCCTTTCTTTTGTTTAGCGAGGAGAGTGTTATGTGCGTCATATAAATTTGTTACCGCGTACTGCGCAGGATACATGCGCGGGCGCATGCGTGAAAAAGCTGGGCTGGAGATGCGCGTGCGAGCTGCGCTGCGTACGAGCATGAGAACGAGCTGTGTGCGTACGTGCAGTGTGTTGGACCGATATAATAAATAGATATATTCAGGAATCACTGTGTCAGCTGCATCGGAGATCGGTATCCCTTTTTCCTCAAAAATTCCCTACATATACAACACTAGCCATTCTTTTCCTTTTTGACACACAGAATTTTTGCGTTATATTTGCCTTTCATGGCGCTCCTGGGCCCATAACCTGCAGGAGTTTTCGCAGTAAAGAATGGGCAAACACAGTATAATAGCATAAGATAGCTTTATTGGACACAGAACAGAACCGTTGCGTGCGAGTGAAGAAGAAGGAAGTAGCGCTGCTAGAAAACGGAACTAACCGTAGTGAACAAAAGTATAGATGCTATGCGCGCCAATGGTTACCAACGAATACAAAATATATAAATGGCGCAACAATTTGAGATCATAAACTCCAACAAGGAGAGCCGACCCCCTCCCGTTCTTGGTTTTCCGGGAATTCTCGAATGAAATTTCGCTCGGGTCGTTTTCGTCCCAGTCCGTATGCGCAGGGTTAATATTCTTCATTATAAAGAAGTCTAATATGACAGTTAGTTATATGTGTAACAGCTTATTCATATCGTTTTGTACACAGATTGGAGACACATTACAAGAGGCATCAATAACCAAAAACAGAATTCATACCTGTTTAATCCTCACGCGTAACTAGTACATAAGTACTGCGTTTTCATTGAACTTTACACAAAGAAACTTATAGATTAACATGTACAGCATTTTGCAACGCAAGGCGAACGTTATATCGAAATATGTTGTTGAATCCAGGGTATGTATTTGGCCACATCAACATAAACGATGTATTTCTGTTGACCGCAGAACAAACTTTCATTGACTAGAGATCGCGAAACAACACCACGCAACTCATAACTGTTCGTACTATTGTTTAGAAGTATCAACCCGCTCCCACCGCCACCTTCACAAAGAGCTAGTCCTTCTTGCGAACCAGCGCAAAAAGTGTCATGCGAGATTATATGAATATATTTAGCATCCGCCCAGAGACAGGTCTCCTGCAATTTGTGAAACAAACTTCAACTCGAGGCTTGTAAACAATTTGACAAATACAGTTGTCACAGATATATGTAATTATTGTAATTTGATAATAGCAATTAACGACTTACTTGACTCACGATCGTCGTTCTCACCATCCGTTGATCGTTAACATTACGAAACTTGTCTCCACCCCATCCTACGACATATCCCGTCCTACTAACGACGTCTTCAAGTTTACTTGAGCCGGACCATAGGCAAATAGGCCTGATGAGAGGATTGAACTCGACGACGTTCGTGAGGGTCAGAACCGCGAGATCGGAAGAAGCTTTGATAAAGTGCACATAATCGGGGTGAATCACGTAGCTCGCGACTTTCCGATTGGCAGATCCATCTCCGCGCAATGGGTCCAAGTTATATCGTCCCAGAACCACTTCCAATATATCGACGGGTACTGTTTCGTTATTGCCCAATAAGTACAGTTTCATACAGTACCCCGCTGTAAAAAAGACATCGTAAATATGTGATATACGAAAGTTTCGGAAATACTGTGCCATCATCAGCACAATTAATTATTAACGTAATTTAAATACAAGCGTATAAATTAAGAAAGTATAACATGTATCGCAATCATATAGTGTTACAGATAACGCACCAACGGCAACCGATTAAATTTAATTATGAAAAACTGATCGGAAATTCTTCAGGGTCGCCAGCAAAAATTAAAAACATCAAAATTGGTTGACCATATCTGGCAATTTTAATGATAAATTATCACGACGTTTCGACCATGGGTTTTGGTCCTTTTCAAGTGATCATATCTGTTACAATTCGAATTTTACAAATTAGTCACGTTTTCGTATTTGTGATATAAGTTTACGGTTATATAAATTGTGTGTTACCTGTGGTAATCGTGTATAAAATCACATGTGTTACGTTGGTGTTGAGAGGATAATCATTATGATCTAAAATTAAGAGTGTTAAGAGAGAGAGAAATTGCAGAGATTTCTTTTTAAATGAATTTCTAAACTTACATGTTCAGCGAGTGTTAACTTAGCTTGCGCACTGACAAAATATGACTGAATCGATATGTATGAGGGTATCGGTAAAAATAGGTGAAAGTCACATAATAGGTCAAGAAATAAATAAATAAATAAATAAGTAAATGATGATGTCTAAAAATTAAATCACGTCAATAATCCGGTCATAAATAGCGTTGAGATTTTCAGTGTCAGTTTGTAAGTTAATTGTATCTTTCGTCCATTTTATAAAAACCATCTCAGCTATCTCTCTCCTTCTCATATTACTCTCCTGGTGTAATACATGAGGAGCAGACCAATCGAAATCATGACCATGTGATGTACGGTGTTTGCTGACCACAGAGTGGTTGCTTACTTGTTTCATGATGTCTTTTGAATGTTCATTTACACGAGTTTTTAAATGTCGCTTGGTCTGTCCTATGTATGAAGCGTTACAGTTCTTGCAGTCAATCTTATATACTACTTCTACCTTTTGGTCATTGGTCAAGGTATCTTTTTCTTTCTTTATGATGGAGTCAAGTTTTTTTGGGATGGTCAATAGTGTATTAATACCGACTTTCCGGAGTTTATGGTTGACACTGTCACTAACACCCTTGATATATGGGAATCGTATATATCCACGAGGGTCGAAAATTTTTGGCTGGTCGTTAACGTTGATTTGGAATTTTATTTGTTTGAGTCTGGATTTTATATGTTTGTCAATTAATTTGGTAGGAAAGCAATTATTTAATAAAATATTTTTTACAGTTTGAATGTTGTCAAGGTGGAATCGGCTGTCAGATAGAATAATTGCTCGGTCTATTAAGTGATATTGTGTTAGTTTTGTATTTTAGAGGGTGGTTTGAGAAAAAGTTTACGTATCGTCCAGAAAATGTGGGTTTCCGGTACCAGTTCGTAATTAGCGCACCATCGCTTCTTAGGACTGTTGTGTCGAGGAAATTAGTTGAATCGTTAATTTCCGTCTCGTGAGTGAACTTGAGTCTAGGATGGTATGTGTTGAAAACCGAAAGTATGTCATTGATTTTGGATGTCGGTACTATAGTAAAAATGTCGTCAACGTATCTATAAAAAGTCGTAATATTAAAATTTAAAGACTGCAAGCACTGTGTCTCTAGATCATCCATCACTATGTCCGCAAGAATTGGAGACAATGGAGATCCCATTGGGTTACCGAAGACTTGTTCATAATATTTCCCACAGAAGTGAAAACTAGTCGATTCTAAGATCAATTTGATGACGTGTATGAACTGCTCTAAAGTGAAGATTGTATTATTAGAGATATTGCTCCATCTTTTTTCAATTGCTTTGATCACTAACTCTGTTGGAATGTTCGTGAACAATGCCGTGACGTCTAAAGAGATTAATATATCGTCATCTTTGATTAGCTTTTGTGAGATGGCTCTTACAAACGACCAACTATCTTTGATATGAGATGTTGGTTTCTGTAAGGATTTAATTAGTATTGCGTGGATGAAACTTGCGATGTTATAAATAGGACTTCCTAAGGTCGAAACTATAACGCGCAAAGGATATCCAGCCTTGTGGATCTTCGGTAGTCCATAACCGTAATATAACCGTAAACTTATCACAAATACGAAAACGTGACTAATTTGTAAAATTCGAATTGTAACAGATATGATCATTTGAAAAGGACCAAAACCCATGGTCGAAACGTCGTGATAATTTACCATTAAAATTGCCAGATATGGTCAACCAATTTTGATGTTTTTAATTATGAAAATTTTTGTTCATTGTAACATACATAAAATTTACATACACAAAAACTTTCAATAATTGGAGCACTATTGCAACAGCATATTCCTGAGACCAAATCAAGTAAAAATATTCTGTACATATATTTCCCTCCAACAAACAGTTACCGAGATATCATAAGCTAAACCTTGAAAAAGTCATAAATTTTCTCTTGAATGTCTCAAAAAGTATTAGGCAAATCAAAAAATGTTTCGAACAATAGTTGTTCATATTACTAGAATAAGATGGACTTTTCTCGATTAACATACCTGTTAATACATGTCTGTTCGTTAAAAGTGACCCACAACATCGAAACAAGTATGATCTCTGAAGCCCATCTCTATCAGTAAGGTAGATTGCAACTACCCAGGGCCACTGGCCTGGTAATGAGGTCTCACCATCGGGGATCAGTTTATTTGTGCTCTCGGTGTAGTAACTGGTAACACCGCATTCGGCGTTGCTATTGTAGTACGGATTGTCTATGCGGTAGTTACTTGAATTTCGATGCCACGGCTGAAAATCCTGAGACAGTGGTTCTTCGTTCGGAAGGTACACAATATGCCCCAATTCGATATTGGCTACGATGTTTCCACTTGACGCTGTGATGCAACGAAATATATCTCTTAAATCGCACATTAACTCAGAATACGAAAAGAGTTTTCTTTTCTTTTGAGAATATAAATAATTTCTAACCAAAATAAATAATAGTAAAATTCTTTGTACCTAAAGATGGAAAGTGATATGCACAATAAAAACGAAATAGTGATCATTTTAATGACAGTTTCACTATTTATCTCCTACGATAGTAGGTAGGTTAAAACTTCCATGTAGGCAGATGCGAGTAAGAATTAACTTCATTTAACCCGAAAGAATTAACGACTGTATTAATCGTTTCTTTTTCCTCGATTATAGGTAGGTATGTAATATTTGTACTGCATTTTAATCAAATACGGTACTCACCTCCGGGGCCGATACAATATTTCCGATTGTTGAACCATATCACAGATAATGTTAGAAATTTTGCGCCCGAAGGAAAATTAATATGATACACCAAAGGTCTACCTTTTTGAACAGCTTGAATGGTGTCTTTTATCGGTCGTGCCAATTCTAATTGAAATAACCCATCCTAGAACGCAAAGATAACTAAGCTACTTCTAATAAATGGACAAATGACTAACGATAAGTTCTCTTAATAATGAAATTAACCAGTACAGTTAAAGGTAAACTTTGAGAGTACAATGCAATTACAAGGCGTAAAATTACTTTCGAGTTTAAATTATATGTGGAAATAAATTAACGTTATAACAATCTTTAATAATAAAATATATAGTTGAATATTTCGCCTCCTTAACTAACATCCGCGATGTGGTAACACGTGAATCCTTCGACAGGTAAGCTATTTATTTCTATTTATTAGGATATAAAATTAAGAAATGACAAACCAGACAAAAATTACAAATAAAATTTGTACATTAATCCTCGATTATCTGTGTCAAACCACGAATAAACTATATTTTTCACTTAGCTTTAATAATATCTAGATATATTAAAAGATTATTTGACATATTTCAAAATATGCAGAACAGAAATTATTTTGTATAAACATTTTCGTACGTATATATATACTTGTATATTGTTTCCATACTCCTTTTAAGGTTCAAAGTACTTTAATTTCTTTACAATATTAATTAAAGTAACTGTACGGTCCTCAGTAGAAGAACTTTGTTTTTAAAAAGACTTTATTTCTGGGTGCTAAACGTATTAAAAATTGCCTGTAGTAATGACAACGAAGTTATACAAACGCCTTCTGCATTCTTAATAATTTGAAAGTTTAAAACATATACATACTTACCAGAGAATCAGCGGTAGCGTTTAAGGCTACTTTTAAATAAAGGTCGTCATTTTCTGGCGGAGAAATGATTTCGATCCGACCATATATCTTGCCTGTCTCAGGGTTGATTGCAAGTGTGAAGTATTCCGAACATAAAGTTGTTCCATGTACCATGGTACATAATAGGTGCGACAGAAACGCAAATAAGATACAAATCTTAGCCATCTTGTGAAATCTATAAATAATAAAAATTCACAAATAATAATGTCGCTCGTGTTATGTTTAAAACAGTAAGTATATAAAAGAGGCCAATTTTAACGAGCACGAAAGTTAACAAAGCATTATATTTTAAACTTTAAGATATTACAAGAAATACATATCCGCGGACGCGTTTCGGCACACAGTGCTTTCATCAGCGCAAAATAAGCTTAAATTTAAGTTAAATTAATGTCGGAATTAAAATTAAACGTTTGTTACACGTGTTACATAGTTCTTCGCGATTGTCCAGTGTATATTTGGGACGGACAGGTTTGGTCAGTTATATAAAAAAAATTCGTAGCTGAGGTAGCCGGCTGTCACGGTTGTGGTCAATAGAGACAGATCCAGATTCTATACCAGGTTGGATGGCCCATATAGAACTTCTTCTATTCGGTTTGATTTGGCTCCGATTAATTTAGTGATTGTTATAATAGTTTGTTTTTTTTAAATGGTATGCGTTTGAAATACCTTAATTTCCCTGCTTGACCAATTCCGTATTTTTTGGCGGCCAGATGGTTTGAGCGATCTTACTTCCTCAGAGTGTTGGAGAGAAATGAGTCGTTTAAAGAAACAGTGTGAAGGGATGCTTAGTCATATTGATGTGGAAATTGTTTATATGTTAATATTATTTGTTTTTAACTGTTTGTAAGACTGTGGAGGAATTCTGTGTAGGCCCCGTCCAGAAGCTCCGTGTCCTTTTGGGAATTGATATGTTGTTTTTTAATGTGTATCATTTCGCTTATAATTCTTTTCCTCAAGTTAGGCTCTTTGTCTAAAATGGATGCATTTTTCCAATCAAATGTGTGATTGAGCTCTATCATATGTTGTGTTAACATGGAGTGTTTGGACGGGTCCAGCCTCGAATTGTTTGAGTGTTCTTTTAATCTCGTTTGTAGTTTTCTTTTTGTTTGTCCGACGTAAGTTGCATCACAGTCCGCGCACGGTATTTTGTATACCACGTCTGTAGTTTCTTGTGTGTTTGTTCTATCTTTAAGTGTTCTGATGAATTTGGTCAACTTGTTAATGGTTCTAAAGCTTAATATGAATTTTGTTTTGTCAATTAGGGGTTTGATGATTTTTTGTATAGAGTTGAGGTATGGGAGGACCAAGAAACTCCTACTGGGTGTTTCTTCATTGCCGTTATTATCATTATTGCATATTGATTTGTGTTTGTTTTTTAAATATCGTATTCTACGGTTGATTTTGTTAAAAGTGAGTTGGAGCGGATATCCATTATTAAGGAGTATGTCAATGCACATTTCTATGTTTTTTTTGTGAAAGTTTGGATGTGATAGTAGTGCTCGGTCTACCAAATTGAATATTGTGCCAATTTTATGGTTCATGGGGTGGTTGGAGTAAAATGAAAGTAATCTTCCCGAGAATATTGTCTTGTGGAACCAGTCAATTAGGAGCCTATTTTCATGCACCTTAATATGGAGTTCTAGAAAACTAATGTCTCTATTTTTTTCTGTTTCTATTGTGAATTTTAATCTATTGTGGTAATTATTAAATTCTATTAGGATGTTGTTGATTGTGGATTTAGGAGCAGCCATTAGAATATCGTCCACGTAGCGGTAATAAATGGTTATTGGATGTTCAATCTTTTGTAGGACTTCTTCTAAATCCCGCATAACTATGTATGTCCGCTACTATTGGAGAGAGAGGGGATCCCATAGGGGTGCCATGAGTTTGTTTATAAATGTTGCTGTCAAAGGTAAAGAAAGTGGAGGACAACACAAAGTCTACGGCTCCTAAGAATTCCTGTTGAGGAATTTTCGTGTTTTTTTTCTATTAGTTCCCATCTTTTGATGATGCCTTTAATAACTAAATCTAATAGGACATTCGTAAAGAGGGAGGTGACGTCAAGTGAAAAGATTGCTGTGTCTGTAGGTAAAACTGTTTCAGATAACATTTTGTACAGTTCATAGCTATTTTCTGTGTGGCTTTTTGCTTTTGATATGCTGTCAGAGATTATTTTATTGAGATATGAAGCTATTTGGTGGAGGGGGGAATTGATTGAAGAAACTATCAGTCTAAAGGGGATATTTTCTTTGTGTATTTTTGGGAGACCGTATGCCTTAGGTAATTGTGCGTCACTAGATCTCATTAGGTAGAATTCATTTTTTGTGATATACTCGTTATCACTCCATTTTTTTAGGTAGGTGTTTAATTTCTTTTCTATTGTGGAGGAAGGATCTTTGGTGATTTTGTTGTACGTGTTATTGTCGCTCAGTAATTCCGTCATTTTTTCTATGTAGAGGGATCTGTCTAATGCAACAGTGACGTTGCCTTTGTCCGCACGTGTGAATAGGATGTCTGGATTTTCTCTTTGGAATGAATAGGTAGATTTAAGTGACAATCGTAGTTTATTTTCCAACCAATTAGGTGTTGTACTTCCTTGTGACATTTTTAGGAATTCTGGTAATACATTATTGCGTATGTTAGATTGATTAGCAAGATTGTGTTTTTTATTGAATAATAAACTTTCAAGTAAGACCCTCTATCTAAAACTAAACAATATATGAGAACATGCCTAATGCGGGTCACAAGGCAAGATGTAGGTAGCCCAACTTGTAGATCTTCAAATCTTTCTGAAAATCGTGAATCTATATACCGTTTTTTTTCCACATTAGTACTACGCGCCGAATTCTTTTTTCGGACATAACGCAGTTTTGTCTTTACACGTGGAATTATTATCGTCAGCAGATTCACGTATTCGATTTGATAATAATTATTTTTCAAATGCAATTCACATTTTTTTTCTGATACTACATTTAGCATTCAGTATTCCCCCCTCCCCCCATTTTCCCCGTCCTGTAAATTAATTTTATTGCGAAAAATATTACCCCAACCAGGATTCTCTTGGAAAGCTCTCGAGGTCAGCTACAAGAATATGTAATCAAAAATAGGGGATGCCATTTAAAAAAATTGGTGTGACGTTTATGTGACCTTCAAATAATTCTTCAAGGTCAAACCAATGGTACCGTCTTATGGCCCCTCTAAATCAAACAACTTTTGTCTGAAACTTTTTTCGAAATAATCCACTCCAACCGAGATATATTATTGTCTCAAGATAAACGCCCCACCCTGTATATCTCTAAGATATATATATTTCTAATCAAACTCGAGATATTGCATATGAACCCAATAAAAATTCATATTGTCTATCAATCTTTATTTAAAAAACTTGTTAATTAGTTACGATTTTTTTTACTATCTCACATGATTTCAAAATAATTGCCATAATCAAAGTGGTATCAACATTAGGTTTGTCGACTTTTTCCATCAAGGGAAGAAACTTATTAATCATTTTTTAAAAATAACAAAATTAATATGTTTGTTAAAAAATTTTTTTAATACTATTTAATCTGCCATGACAATGTGGTAATATGATATATTCATAATTAATATTTATATATGCTCAAGTATTAATTTTGGTATAATAAAATACAATAGATTAGAGAATAGGATCTTTATATATAATATAATATTATAATGTGCCTTGCGGTGTTATGGCAGATGCATATGGTGAAAAGGTAGACGATCTCTTGTTAAACCGATATTTTTGTACATAAAATGTTAAACGAAGTTTTCTACATTCTGCTGTGTTTGCAATTTTTGAAACGCCATAACAATAACTGTTACGGAACT